TCTGTGTCAACAAGGCAAAATGGGCCATGCCAAAAAGGGAGTTTGAAGTAGTTTGGCGCATGTTCATACACCTGCCTGTGGACACAGGTTGTCAATGCTGTAATCATGTAAATTATAGTTGGGAACATTTATATGTGTGTAGATGGGATTATAATGGAGGTCATGTACACAGATGGGGGGGCGGGGGGGCAGTGGCCCCATGGCTCCTTGCAATTTATGCACTTAAACATTATGTTTTTCCTTATGATCCGTCACATACACTCATGTGGAAAACTGAATATATATAATCCCTTCTAAGTAAACACTGCTTTCAATAGAATGAAGAGGGTAAGTAGAAGCTAGGTGCTGCTAATCAGATGCACTTTATTAATTGGTCATCAGCAAGTGAGACCAACTACATGCAAGTAGAAGTTTTAGCAGTTTGATATTCCTCCACAATGGGAACTCGTACTTTAAGTCATGTGTACTTGTGTACTTTTCAAATGTTGCATGCTGATATTAAACACGATTAAAGTTTCTCAATTTACCCTCAGCATATATGCAATTAATGACTGTGAACCAATAGCTCTGTTTTGTCCCATCTGTGTGATTTCTACGAGAGTGGATATCCCTAATATGGTCATCACAGGCACACAGATCTGGCTGGGAGAATTGAAGCCCCTCCCACCTGCTGTTCAAACCTTCTGTTTCTGATGGGCAAAGAAAGATGTTGGCTTAAAGGAAGGTTGGAAAGAGCTAAAAAGGTTTGTTTCACACAGATTCAAGTGAGGGGCTGCACCAGCCCCAGCATAATATTAACCTACTTAAAAAGAGTTCAAGAAAAAAAATATGGAGCGGGAAATGAATACAATAGGTGACCTATTTTTTTATCATTATTTTTTAAGCCTCGATCATGGATGTGACCATAGAACTGGCACTGAGACTGGTCCCATCACAACATATTTTCTTATGGGTGCACTCTAGAACTATTAATAATTTTTTTTTGTTGATGGTGTTTTAAGATAGGAAAATAATTAACACTGCTACCTGTTACAGTCTGAAAAGGTCTGCATGTAAAAAGAACATGTTTTTATTTATTTTTTTAATGCACAGAGTTGAAGCAGCACTTCACTGACAGCTTGAAGAGAACATCATTAACTGCACATGTTTTTTTTTCTTGGATATTTCTAATGATTGCATCAGATTGCAAGGCATTCCTGGTATTTTGTCCACCCTCTTTACATCCCTATCTGTTGTTATACATTCAGACATTATAAAAACAACAGATCTATATATGCTGTTAGCCAGAACACAGTGGCCGATTTACTTTGCACACAACAAAAATCTCGAAAGGCCTGACAGTACAGTGCCTTATGTGATAACAAGAAAACTACTTCTCCAGTTAGTTTGAAACCAGGGTTCATTGTGAGAATGGATGGAAATTTTTGACACAGTGGGAGACCGCTGCCCTTAGGTACACGAGTCAGTCACATGGATGTCTGGAACCGTCTTAATCATCAAACAGCTTGGCTGCAGTTTGCAGATTTCCTGTTGTGACTGGCTCCACTTTGAGGTCTTTAACTTGTACATTAGTATTAACTAACTGACCTCATGCAGGGTTATCTCCGCTTTATTGATTAAGTAGCTGTACAGAATATTCAAATCTACTCAGTTTGGGATAATTACAGGTATTCTGCCCATGTTATGTCCTAAAAAGAGAGGAGGCTGGATTCTGAATGGATCTCAAATCACTGTATTACATAAGTGTAGCTTGAATGGAAAAACTTTAATGATAACCAAAATGCCCTTTTCATCCACGCCCGTGTTGATCTCCTGTTTATTTCAGTTCTATTCATGTAGTGCCATTTACAACAAAATCATCAGCTCAAGGCAAAATTTCTGTTTCAAAATGGTTTAATGGTTTCTTTGGTATAGTATGAAAGTCCATAGCTAACGTGTTTGTCAGTGAAAAAGCTGTCAAACTGACATTTATCTCGACCTTTGGCTCAGGTATAATTAACAGTTGGGATGTGATCCATTCTTTCATTGTCCAGTGCAAAATCTATGCCCTCCATGCAGATTTTCATTTTGCAAAACCACCCAGTGGGCTTTGTTTGCTGGGTATGTTAGATATCCATGCCCTGTGGTATTATACTTACTACAGATGGCAATATTTTTTTTTCAGGGCAGGAAAAAGGTTGCATCATATTTTACTTGCACTGATGCTTTTGCATTAGCTTCCCATACACAGTCATCTTCCTGTCTTAGATGCTTTGCCTCCATACACATGACTTCATTTAACAACTTTCACCTCAGTCTCTCGAGGCTGCTTATTTAATCGTTCTGAAATCGCTCCAGTTATTTTAAGAGCTTTGAGTTCAGAGGGCCAACCATTGAACTGTATGAGATCAGTCTATGTTTTTTTTCTGACTAATTTTACTGGCCGGGTTAATGATCACTCATGGAGTTCTGCCTGTGTGTATCCATATCTATGTGAGTGATGGATGTTTGACTGAAATGGGCTTTCTGAATTACAAATTAGACGGACGTCAAGGGAAAAAAACACAAACTTTATTATCATCTTTTTACAAAACATTTCAGAATCAACCCCAACAAATAATAGATCCAATACTGACCTTCATGGTGCAAATGATCAACTTTAAACATGATCTGACACATTTCCTCAAACAGCACCAAACTACGTACATCATATATTACCTCAGTGCTAACCTTTAACGTTTTGCTGCTCTAGCACAGAAAAAAAAAGTGTTGACTCGGTTTATCAACGAAAGCAACAAAACAATAGGTGGACGACATACAGAGCATTTTAGGGTGAAGAGAACATGAATGATGCCATGAGCATAAATGAGAAAAGTATGGCAATCAAAAAGGCAACTGAGTTGTTTGCAAAGTTGTAAGGGGCTGCATCTTGGTTGACCTCTGTGCACACAACCAGCAGATACCCTGAACCTACAAGCACAACCATTATTGTGCAATTAACATGAAAAAATAAACACATTAATGGCTAGATTATAGAGAAGTGGAATAGGTGGTTAGCCTCCGTGTGCCACATAAACTGTTCACATTAGCTTCTTTTGTTTTGTTGAACATTTGAGGCAGATGGTTGCCATGTAATATTTTAGACATTGTGTGGTCTGTAACATCTGCTGCATTGGTCTTTTTAGTGCTAGTGCAAAATATTTCTGCAAGTCTTTTTTGACAACAGGCAGCTATATACCTGATATCAAAATCTCATAGTAATGTGAACAATTTTTACCCACTCTGCTCAAGTAATTACAGTTAGAACAGTTTTACATGAACACAATGTTTAAAACGCATCAGCCTTCAATCAGTGAGTGCTCCATTTGTTCATCTGAATGCAGCCAGATGAGTGATAATGTACAATGTAGAGAGATACATTCACAATGTAAGTGTGTAAAGATGTGAAATGTAACAAAACAATATCACTGACTCTATACTCAAATGTAATAACCCATATATAATCCATTCTATCCAAATACTCAGGACCTGGGCCAAATTTGTAATGGCCCGACCAATAGTTCATATAAGATTTATGCATACATGTATGAACACTTTGTAAGTAAATTGTGTAATTATTGTAATATAGTCAGAATTTTTGAAAGAGTGGGATTGAGAAAAAAATGTAATAGTTGCACGTCCTATCTTTTTCAGCATTTCTTGCCTATATCTACCTCAGCTATCAAAAAAGGTAAAAATATCCCCCCAAAACAATCTTCAGTCACATGACACATGAAGGTATCCCCTAGTTTTGATCTTATAGCCTACACAAGCTGAAACAAGCGCTGCACTTGCTAAATAAATTTTTTTCTTGCAGAAAATACAGGAACATTTAGGCTTACATTTTTTATTTACCATAATGAAAAATAATTTCAGCATGTAATATTGTATGTATCTAGTGTAATAATATGGTAATTATTTAATACATCATTTGAAACCGACTTCATTTGAGGGCGACCTTCTTAACCTTGTAACGTTCGAAAACGTTTGCTAAATAATTGTTTACATCATTTAACTTTGATGCACCTGATTGAAAATATACCCGTGTAATTACTATAGCCCAGTGTGACATGTAAATATTAGTTAAAAACACATATTTGAAGTACATTCAGCTTCAGATTGAGCAACAGGGCCAAAAGTTGTGTGTCCATTTAGCGATAATGGTACATGTTCACAGGATCTTTCATTTCTGGTAGCATCAATATTCCCGTTGATGCTACCAGACCTTGGATTCTCAAACCTTTTGGGCCAGGTCCTCTTCATCATCCTAACAACAATTAAGCATATCTTTATTACCACCAGGGATCATGTATGCAGCTGAAAGTATTTCTATTCTGAAAAATATTTTAGCCTGATGTGCTGTGATGTGTCATACCAGTCAAAAGATATTGTAGGTGGGAGTAATGGAAACACTGTAGACATTTTGTTGGAGTAATTTGGACCCAATGTGTAGGGATGCACTTATACATATAACAGCACAGTGGCATGACTCATCAGCCCTGGAAACTCATGCCAGAATTCATAATCATTGTCAAATAATGATTGCTGATGACTGCCCCTCCATAAGTTTGGATCTGAGGTTTCCTCCTTTCAAAAAGGGAGTTTTTCCTCCCCACCAGCGCTAAGTGCTTGCTTATAGCAATTTTTCAGATTGTTGTGGCTATTTTCTACTATCCTGTGTTTACCTTTCAACAGAAAGAACTGGTGCGAAACTAAATATATGATATACTTGGCTTATTTCTTGGGTCCCACTGTTTCTATAATGTTGGTCAAATTAAGCAAGCTGGCATATGGGTCATAATTAAAATCCAGTAGGAGATTGTCAGATGTTCATATGGACACTAACACTACCTAGTGGCAAGTTACTTTACTCCTTACTTCCAGAAACACCCCTGTGAACACATACCATAAAATCAGTACAGTCACCCACAGTACTCTCTGTATTAGATGGCAGCTGCAGAGAGTTATACATACGTGTATGTAAGCACAGCTATCAACTGAATCATGTGTAAATACTTAAATTGAAAAATATGCTTTCAGTGTTTTCAATATCCCAACGTTTCATGCATGCTTACCAGTAATACTCTACACTTTCTGTTTCTAAAATGGCTTGCTTCCTACCACTTTGTAACAAGTGTCTTCAAGGACACTACCCATGAGCTTTTCAGCTCTTGTGATTTACAATGAAATCGTTACGTGAGCTACATGTGAGCGCAAATATACACTAGACAATTCTGAAATCGCTCCATATGGCCCATGCTGCTTGTACACAGTAGCTATGACATGACGACATGAATAATGTAAATATGGTGGTGGAGTATAGGTGAATAAAAAGGGCTTTATTCATCGCATGCATTTGAATTTCACTTGTTGCTCCAGTCATTTCCTTGATATATTTTCATTTTTCTATCCCAGCTTTCTGTCAGGTGTCACGAGAAACTCAGAAAGGCTAATATTTATGCATTAGCACGGTTTCCTTTTTTTTTTTTTTTTTTTGTTTTTTCTGGCTCACACCCTCGGTCATTTCAGACTGGAGTCAGAGTGATACACCCATCCCTTTCACTCTTCCATTTCCGTTTGGTTCCACCTGTTTGATTTTAAAATGAATATGAAATGTAGTCTGGTTTGTGCGTCATGCAGATCATTCTATAGTGTACATACAATGCTAGGACGAACAGGCAAATGTCTACAGGCACAAAGTAGAGCACTAATTTCATCAATCATGAAATCAGTGTGAAATGATTTGGAATAAAGTAAATGATATAGCTGCTGAACTTTTGTGTTGATTAATGTATTGTCCCAGCTAGCAGTCTAAAAAATGGGTCAGTGTAAAAGGATGTGGGGCTGGAGGAGGGACAACCTCAGTGTAAATTGTTAAACCAATACTTAGGTTTACTTTGTGTTTACTTTCAGGTGCCTGCATTACAAAAGAACGAGTATGGTGATGTCTTATAAAACGCGAGGTACGACACAGTGATGTAGTGCATGAGATGGCATGGAAGATGCTAGAGTGGAGTAAAACCTTTCAAAAACGTAAAACGAGGTGTGAGGAGTCCTAGCAACAGTGCAGATACACATGTTTACACTATATACTATAAATAATCAAAGTTAAAGTCACTTAAAAAATACCAAACACAGAGAAACCAATAAATTAGGTACAATGCCATTCATTCGCTCAAGGGTCATGTGATGCACTGAGGAAAGATGGGTTGAAACTAGAGTGTGCCCATTCCAGTGACTTCAGACGTCAGCCTAAAACAGTACAGGGAAGAAGGGGGAGGAGGGGGGAGGGGGGTGGGGGTAGACAGAAAATAAAACAACTGTGAAAGAAGAACTTTCGCTTGGCAGTGAAAGTTATGCTGCAATGGTTGCCTTTGTGCTTGAATTTTCTTGCTTGGTGCATTTTCTTCACAGAGACTTGACACCATATTCCATTGCACCCATTCACATAAAACAGATGTGGATACATAACCATGCAGTACTAAAGCCTCTCATGAAGCCATGCAGTGGACTAAAAAAGAACAAAAACACACAAAAAAACATAAAAACATTAAAAGAAAAACGGTGTTATGAAATAGTGAGTTGCATTACAGAGGCATCACATCACTCTTCTTACTAACAGCATTGCTCAGTAGCACTCACGTTTCCTGCCTTTTTTTTTTACTTTATTTTTTTATTTTCCCTTTTTTTTAAAATATTATTTTTACTCCTTGTAGACAATGACACAAGAGGACTTTATAGGCAAATTTATATAACGATACCAAAAAGAAACACGATATTCTTGAAATGAGGCATGCTAAATAAATAGTTGAAGAAGCTGTTTGCTTGTTTTTTGGGGACAATATGCTTATTCGCTGCATTGCAGGAAGTAAAATGAGAAGATCAATGGTATTCTGATGTGGGTTCTTTAAATGTGAAGCTGGAGGAAGGGAGGACAGGTGAACACAAGTTACCTGGCTCTGCTGGAAGCTAACATAATCTACCTATTTAGACATGTAAAGTAAAGCTTCTTTGTAATTATCAAACTGTGCATTACTCTTTTTTTCATCTTTGGTCTGAAGAGAAGTGGGGATTTGGTTTCCCTGTAACCAATCACCAGAGACCAAAGTATCCATCTGAATCAAATGTTCCTTTAAGCTTGATACCAAGCGTCGACCTCCAGAGTTTCAATATGAAGTCAACTTTGAAGTGACAAAAAATGATGAAAAAAAACAACCTCAGGCTCGCTCTAAAAGCTGGATTTCTAACTCCAAAACTCAGTTTCCATAGACTCAGATGTTGAAATGCTCAAATCTAGAGCATGTAAACATGTTTACAGCTTGACACAAAACAATTTTCTCCCTCCTGAACCCCTGTATAGGAGGGTTATATACTCAATTTAAACTGCATTTGGCCATAATTCATGCAGTGTAGTGGCACGACTGTTCTGACCAAGGTACAAAGTAACAGTGCTCAACTCCAAATTTTTAAAGAATAAAGTATCCAGTCTCAGCCTTTAAATAACTGTCCACTGTAGTGACCACTATGCGTGAAAGGGCTGTTTTCTTGTATTTGTGTCAGTGTTGATGGTATACTTGCACATAAACCACTACATTGGACACTGATGTGTGACTCCATACCCTGCCACCCACACCAAAGGTGATGTTGTCCACCTAAGTGGACATGTAAGAAAAATCTTTGAAAAGTACATGTTATTGTTACCACTGGTATTCCATATTATATATTCTGTATTTATATATGTGTATATGTGTATATATGGTATATTTATGCTTTTATCCTTACTCTCATTCCCCTTTATTGTATCTGTAACATGCAACTTCTGTCGGTGCTGTGCTACTGGAAACTGAATTTCCCAGAAGAACCCACCCGAGGGATTAATAAAGTTTCATCTCATCTCATCTAATCTCAAAAAAAGAAATTTAAAAATCTTTTTTCATGCCTAAAGATGAATAAAAATACTTGAGAAATAAATCCTGATTAAGGTTGTCATAATTCATGCGTGAAAAGGTTAAAGAAATTTAAAAAAGAGAAGAGAGAGAAAGTAAAAGTATTCTCTCATTAATATATATTTATTTCACAACATTGTCAGTGTAATTTAGGATAAAAAACTGTGACAATATATAAGCAAGGCGAGGTCCAAATGCCGATGGAACTGACTGATCTGATAAGATGGATGGAGGTGGTACAAGTGGTGGTTCAAGTCGCCGAAATGGACTTCTCATCCATGTTGGTTTTTGGTTCCTTTTGAAGGATTTTTAATGCAGATACCTCACGTGTGTTTAGACATGTTTGATTGTACTAACAGACCATCGAAAAAAGTTGACTCCAAATATTAGTTTTTGAAATTCAACAAAAGAAATCTTTGTTTGTTGCTTAGCACTAATTAACACTAGTATCTGTGTTTCTGGGTTTTACCTGTAAAGTCTAGGGAAAAATCCACGACAACAGCTTGCCATTAATAGCCTTGATTAGCTAATGAGTCACTCGCTTTTAGATGTGTTTCTGGGTGGATTTGTTTCCTTTACGTAACAGCTGCTTCCCATTTAAGACACAGAAATTGTAATTAATTTTCTTGTCAACATTTCTGCAAAAACAGTGAATAAGCATATTTTCCAAAGTAAAAACTATTTTTTTTAATCTATACACTGGCTACATCGATTGTTAAACAGACCCCGGTGTCAATACAGGCCTCTTACAGGCTAGAGCTGAAGTTATATGCACAACTAGCAAAGCAAAAGTCCCACAGGATAACACATAGAGGTTTATCGTGAAGTTGTGGTTTTGATGTTAGCTTCTGAAAACAGAACCAGATTTGTGGCGACTTCAGGATGTTGTCATGGATGAAGGGTCATTCCACATGGCGGCCACGTCCCTGAACCTGCCATTGGAATTGCGGGAAAGCAGTAGCCATTAGTTTCTTTGTGGGCTGTTCTCTAAAATCCCCTTTAGAAGTCAAAAACAAAAAATCGCTTTGTGTTGAGCATGTGGGTTCCCCTGCACTAATGCTGATAACATATGACTTTGAGGTGCAGGTAGCCTGTGGACATCAGTGCTGTTCTGTTTTCTCAGAGCTGCGGATTTTACATTTATTTTCACTGGTGATAATGAATTAGGTTTCGCTGGATAGAGGAGAAACAGGGGTAGTGGAGCATGCCAAGAAAACTGTTTCACACTATCTACTGGTATGTATACTATCTTACTACACAGCCACTGCTCTTTAGTCCTGCATGGGATTTAGATGTAACTGTCTTGGAGTCATTTTCTTTTTATTTAATTACACTGACAGCTTATGTGCAAAAACACAGTCTTACAGCAGTTATATCTCTAAATTAAGCTCGCAGAGTTTGTATACCTTCTTGTGTCGGCCAACTTTGTGAACTGAAGTAAGCATTGAACATTTGATGATTCATTTATGGATCATCCAATTTACTAATCTGCAGATTCTGTTCAAAGGCACAGCTTACTCGTTCCAGTAGTTGGCCTTGCTCCCATGAGACACTTACTTGCAAAGAGTGTTCTCCCAGAAACTTACAGCATTTTAATGTCTACACTTGGTTGGATGTAAAGAACAAAAGTCAAAAGGAACAAACAAAGGGAAATAAGGGGGGACCCAGCATGGCTCACATTATTCATGGACTTATCTGTTGCTTGTGTAAATCTGACAGATTTTTTTCTCTGCATTTTCTAGAGTCTCATCAAAGTCTCAGTGTCAAAAGTAAACTTGTCAGCGACCTCCTTTTATTCCAAAAAGCCCAATCAGAGAGAGAAGCTTTCTTGGATCTTCACTATGAGCATGCTCATTCAGATGTTACTTTTATCTTTAATGTTGTGCTTGAGCCCAGCAGAGTTGAAAGGTTACCTGGCATTGATGAGATACTGGGCCAGGCTGATGTTAGCGGGGGTCCCTGTGATGGTAATCTGACGCTCTGATGAGCCCTCCATGGCATTTGCAATTTTGATCTGCGCCCCAGACATCTGTCGAATCTCATTTATTTTGGTGCCCTGGCGTCCAATAATGCACCCTATTAACTGTGGGGAAAAAGCAAAAGTCTTTGAATCTGAACAAGGCTTCACGTCTGGTAATGACAATCATTTCTTCTTTATAACACTTACATTTTTAAAAAGATGGCATCTCAGTGCAATCATTATTTCTATATATTTACAAATAGACAGTAATCCTTTCTATTAAATTTACATAAAATAGTTAGATCAATTTATCTCTCCGGCTTATAAAAAATCCCCTACATCATATATTTAAACATATATATTATTATTTAAAAAAAGTTTCCATAGGTTTGAAAAGTTACATCTGAACAAACCACAAGACTTTTGGAACAGTTTCATTAGAACAGATGAGACCAAATTGGAGATTTTTGAAATTTCATTTGGCGGAAACAGCAATACATGACTGTATTCTTGAAATTGGTGTCTCGTGAAACCTTTCCAGCATTACTTACATCATTAGGAATGGTGAGTTCATGGGTGCTGGCTGGTGGACTGGCATCCAAACCTGCACCGCGGACATTATAAGAAAAGACATTGCAATTTCAATACTTTAGCAGAGTTCATCTCTAAAAGGAACTTTTTCTTCTTTTTTTTTATCAAAGGTAGCACATCCACCTAGCAGCAGGTCAGCTGAGTTAAAATAAACTACCCTGTTTTTTCTGGCTTTATATTAATCAAGGCACTACGAGTAATGCCTAGTAAACTGCAGCCACTAGAAAAATTTTTTAGCTGCTGTTGATTATTTATTTTATATTTATTAAGTGAAAGAAATTAAAAACATATTTCCCAAATTACACAGCAAAATCTTAAATTAAATTTCCTGCTTGGAGAGAAAAGGAAACACATTCAGAAGGGGGATCATGAACTTTGTTTAGTCAGTTACTCATTCCATGTACAGCTATGCAGACAGGCACAGTAAGGGTTAAAAAAAAAAGAAAGAGAGAGAACGCTGTGTGGCTGCTCAGGTAACAAAATTAAAAGATATACAGCTGCCATGAAATGAAATCTAACAACCACCATGGGATAGATGACCCTACGTAAAACACACGAGGAATCAGTAGAAGTGTGAATCGAATGCACCTATAAGTCAAACAGCATATAATGGAAATCAGGTTATAGCTGCTTATTTACTAATGCTGTTCCGGTATATCAGCCGTGTAATTGGTTTCTTACATCATTGTTTTGTTATTTACAGTCTGACTAGCTTGACTCCTTTGCTCTCTGTTTCACCCATTAGGTTTATTTCACTTTTTGAGATTAGACGATGAGGGGAGACAACGTTATTTGAGTTGTCAAAAAAATCCAGAACTTGATATGTGCATATAAATGGAATAAAAGTAGCATGGTGGCTTAAGTGTGATTAATCATAACTCCAAACCTTTGTGAAACCCTTCACCGTAACTTGACATGCATCTCACAAGAAATGCAACGTTGACTCAACACAATGAATGTGATTAGCCCATTCAGTACTGTTGTTTCACGGTACTGTCCACGTCTTCTTTCGCCGCTAGGTCAAAGAGAGAAACTCCACCACCAACTAGTGTTTTGATGTTGAAACTGCAACAAATGAGCACATGGCCTTTTTGCGTGGCACCTGCATGTTCTCCCTGTGCTTTGGGTCAACAGGCCTCATAAAATATCCTGATATTCTGTTTTATCTCAGCCCAGCATACTTGTCTCACAAGTTACACTCAATTTCAAGAGTTTTGCCATCCTGTTTATTTATTTTCCCAACAAGTTAGAATTTGAAAAAATAAAATAAAATATGGAAGAAAGGAAAAGCCAAACCAATAACCTACAACCTTGCTAGACTGAAATATGCATTCCACAGAGGTGAACTACAGATGTTTCTTATCCACCCGGACTACTCCCGAAAGCCTTGAATCCACATAAATCTCATAGGTGACCTTTTTTGATCTCAAAATGCTAAGTTTGCATTTCTGCATTCATTATAGCTAAGGCTAAGGCTTTTGGATAAAAACGTACTCACGAGACCTTCATTTGATCAACTGCACAGATGCAGAGGTTGCGATGCACATAGGCTAATATAAACACCAAGAGCTATAAAAGAGCTAGAGGCACAATTATTATTGTAGAATCGGGCCTGTGGCATTAGAGTCTCCCTCCTTAATGGAAAGTCAACAGCATAAACAATTTGCCCTGTTTCCAAGAGATAATGCAGTTTGGAATACATCATTTTAAAGTGAAGCTTGAAGGCATTTTTTTTACCTTTCAGTGGCAAAATATCAGACATATCCAAGAAAAAAAAAAAGCATATATGGACAAATCAAAGAAAGATAGAAACTACAGGGGCCAAGACATGCTGTGCCAAAATAGAGATAGGGTGCAAGGTAGGGAAAGAGAAAAATGTTTCTCTGGATGCAAAGAGAAGGAAGTATCTATCGGGCCTCGTGGGTACGTACCAGGGAAAGCAGGGGTGGTCTGTCCGAGAGGGGTAAAGGGGGTTTGCTGCATAGCCAACTGGTGGAGCTTGGTCAACTGCTGAAGGGTTAGGAGGGAAAGTAGAACTAAGAGGTTACTGTTACACAGGTCACACCAAGAAATGAAGCCAACCAAAACTAGAGTGAAGAAACGGTGAGGAAAAGGAGGCCATGGCACGGGGTGGTGGAGGATAAAAAGTAAGAGAAAAAGAGATACAGAGAGAGGATGATTGTCTGTCGTGGAGATGGACTCTATTAGATAATTTGATATTTTCCTTTCTGTTCTGCCTGTTTCTTTATCATTTTAGCATAGTGATTTTGAAAATGTGGACCCACTGGTGAGCACATTAACATTAACTGCAGGAAATAATTTTTATTGCCCTCTTAATTACCACATGTCTTTCTAAATGGCAGTTTTGACTCACACTCAGAGAACCCATATGACTGCAAGAGCACCTGCTCTCCCAGCCAGTATGGTCACAGGATGTCCATCCGCTGCTGTATATCATTTCCGTCAGGAATAAGGGAAGGCCGATACTTTAAAGGCTTCCTCTCCTTTTAAGAGGAGTTTTAATGAGGGAGGAAGAGGGTGTCAGGCCCGTACTTGAGTGATTGTACCGTCAACCACCACCTCCACTGGCATCAATCATTGCCCAACTTTGAATTAGTGGATCTGACACAAGGTAGCTCTTGAGATGCTCTTACGACAAGGACAGATGAAGGCAGATTATTAATGGAGACTATATGGTCCACTGGAATTAAAGAGCTGTCTACATCAAAACTGCCATTACTGTCTTTGCCTTGATCGTTAACACCAGGAGCCACTGGCTTGTTATCGACCAGATCTTTCTGGTAGTTCAGCCACAATAAAACCTTAAACTATAGACAGCCAGTGGTTCTGAAAGTGGAAGGGCTATATAGCTTATCTCATAAGAGCTGATGTGTGCATCTAATCAAATGTCTGCTCTTCATATACGAAACAACGCAGGTTTGTTTCAAAATTAAATTTTTAAAAAGAGACTAAGAACTTACATCTGGGTGTGGTATGGCGTACTGTCCCTGAATTGTGTAGGCCTGGAAAGGTAAAACATAGAAGAAAAATCAGACTTCAGTATCAGAGTGGGAAAAAAATCAAATAAAGAACAAATCAGCTTGTACACTTTCAAACACTTTCAAAAAGCCTTTCAGTCACTTACAAACACTCATCTTGGGCATGAATCACTTTGGGCTTTAATCAATTCTTTGAAGTGTTCTTTTTTCCGGAGTGGAATGATTGTACCGCATACATCTTTAATTACTTTAAAAATACAAGAATTGCGTGCACAAGCTTGAATTTATTGTCGATTTTCCTTCGATCACACAGGGTCAAAAGTTTATGTACAAGCTTTAATTTATACCTACACTCACTTAAATCTTTTAATAAGTGGTTCTACAATGCCTTTTAACTTGTTAATGAGTTGCTGCCTACAACTCATAGTTTCTTTTTGCCAGAATAAAAATGATTTGATTGACAGGTGAAGGTCTTTTAAAGCCAGTCCTTAAAGACCTACAGATTCCAAGATCAAGGATGTTCCAAGCTGACCAAGCAACAATCCCCTGCTCAAAAACCAACACATTTAAGCTCAATTGAACCCATATGGGTAAGTCAAATACCATCTGGAGAAAAGTTTTATGTTTGGAGGAGTAAAGGTGAGGCTTTCAAACCTATGATGGGATCATGCTCTGGAACAGTTTTTCTACTTTTGGTAGTGGTGCATTCCACAAAGTGGATGAAACAATAAAGGAGGACTACCTTCACCTTAAACGTTACCTCAGTTTAACATTATGTCAGAAACTTGCTCATGGCTTCCAAAAGTGTCTAGCTGATGTGCAACTTCCACTAATATTTAACCAAATATTAGTTAGTGGTGTAGTTATATATTTGACCCAGTGTAAATATTTTTGACCCTGTTTCAAACTTACATTCAATTAAAACGTCATTAAAGTTGTATACTGTGCAATCATTCCACAACGGATGAAAAACAGTTAAAAAAAATCATGAAAAACACAAAATAACCTTGACCTTCATGCCCAGGATGAATATATGTAAACCTCTGACCACAACTGAATATTCCTTTTCCTTATTATCTGTCTATGTACTATATATAATGTATATATTACATATAATACTGATTATAAATTTTGGTATGTGTTTCTAGTGGGGCGAAGTGGGAGTTCGCCTTGTAACCGGAAGGTTGCCGGTTCAAGCCCCGGCTCGGACAGTCTCGGTCGTTGTGTCCTTGGGCAAGACACTTCACCTACCACCTACTGATGTTGGCCAGAAGGGCCAATGGCGCGATAATGCAGCCTCGCTTCTGTCAGTCTGCCCCAGGGCAGCTGTGGCTACAACTGTAGCTTGCCTCCACCAGTGTGTGAATGTGTGTGTGAATGGGTGGATGACTGGGTGTGTAAAGCGCTTTGGGGTCCCTAGGCGGGACTAGTAAAAGCGTTATACAAATACAGGCCATTTACCATTTATTTACCATTTAGTGGTAATGACATTAAAGTGATGATTCACTTAATCTTATGCATCATTAGCAATGACATTAACTAACATTAATTGATGATCCACTTAAGTGTTAGCATATTCAAAGCAGTATCAGAAAAGGCTTATTATATGTAGATGAAGTACAATGACATCCAAGTCTTGGAAGTCCAAAAATACAATAAAATATATCCGATGACTGGCAGAAAATGTTTCATAATGTCCATAAAGCGCATTTGCTGATGGCTGCCAATGCAACTTAGTGCTGCTTTATGACTCCTCATTTTTGGTTCTCCTGTTTCATCTTTAATTCATGGATTCAACTGTATAAACAAAATAGCTGCCTCGGTCTCAGGTGAGTAATCATTCAAATCCCAGTCTAGACTGTGTATGTATATGCTAACGTTAAACATAGCATATTAGTCAACTGAATTACCTTATTTTGGACAGATGTTTTTGCATTTCTGTCTGTGCATGTTTTTTTTTGTTTTGTTTTTTCTAAATCAGACCCGTGTAAGTTGTTTTCTAAAGGCTTCAGATGTGGGGGGTTTTTTTCCATTTAACACCCAGTGATGATGATTATTCCCAGACAAAAGGAAAATTGGAGTCATTACAAGTTCTTATGTGCTCTGTTCCTCCAGCGCATCTCTTGTTTGCTAAGTTTTCAAATTCATTCAACAGCTTTTAGTCCAAATCTGCAATTAACTTATGGATATGGCTGGACAGACATTAGTATGCACCCAGCATTCTTGTTGACATTAATGCCATTGTTACTGATTCACACATTATGGTTCTGCTACCGTCCCTGCTTCCCTCTTTCACTATCCGGTGCACTCAAACAACAATGACTGTCCAGCCAAAATGCACTCACCAGCCACTTTTTTTAGGTACACCTGTTAGGTACACCAGCTGCTTGTTAATACATATATTAAATCAGAAAATTCACATGGCAACAACTCAATGCACTTAGGCATGTAAACATGGTCAAGACCAGTGAATCTGAATGTGGAATGGTTGTTGGTGCCAGGCAGGCTGGTCTGAGTATTTCAGAAACTGCTGATTGGCTAGGGCTTTCCCACAGAACTATCTCTAAGGGTTTCCAGAGTCCAAAAAAGAGAAAGTATCCAGAGAGCAGCAGTTAGATGAGTGAAAATGGATGAGAAAAGACTGGCCAGATTACTTTAAAGTTAACAGTAAAGTCACAGTAGCTTAAATAACTACTTGTAACAACCAAGGTATGGAGAGGATCATCTCTGAATACATAGCATGAACCTTAAAGCAGATGGGTTACAGCAGCAGACAGCGTCCCATTCCTGTCAACTAAAAAACAGGAAGCCGAGGCTACAATTCACATAGATTTATCAAAACTGAACAAAATAAGATTGGGAAAACATTGCTGGGCTCAACAAGTCCAGATTTCTGCTTTGACTTTCAGTTGGTGGGGTCAGAATTTGAGATTAGCAAAATGGAAACATGGTTCCATCCTGCACTGTATCAACACTTCTTTTGCTGTTCGTGGTATAATGGTGCGGAGGACATTTCTGGCACACTTTAGGCCCCTTAGTAGCCAGTAAGGCTTGTTTTAATTCTTATTTTTATGTCTATTTAAGCGTTATATGACAGCATGTTTGCACTAAGTACCGCAGCAATTTCCTAATGTTGTAAACCTGCTCAACATTTGGCAATAAAACCCTTTCTGATTCCGATTCTAAACACCCCAGCCTGCTTTCAGCAGGATACCACACCACGTGATAAAACTCAAGCCAACTCAAAATGTTTTCTGAATATGTCAGTGAATTGGCTACGCAATTGACATCCACAGTCCCGATGCAATTGAGCACATGTGGGATGTGATGGAACAGGAGGTTCACATCATAGAAGAATCTGCAATAATTGATGCTATCGTGTCAATGTCGACCAAAATCTCTGAGGAATGTCTCCAGTAACCTTGTTGAATCCAAGACATTAAATAAGGCAGTTCTGACACCAACAAGTGGTCCAACTGGGTACCAGCTAGGTGCACCTAATCAAACTAATAAAATTGAGCATTTATCATTTGCACAAATGCAAGATCGTTTAAATATAAGTCAGTCAAATATAAGCCACATTCATTTCATGGTAACAGTGCTAGTTCTGACAGAGAGGTTCCTACTGCTACAAAAGCCAAGCAACCAGATAGAAATTACTACAGGAATAAAACTTCTATTTTTACTGAAGCCACTCCCCCAATATAAAACAACTAAAGCTGTAATTTTTGTGACAATCATCCTTGTCAGAACCAATTTCTCTCTTTTCTATGCAAAAGGAACACTGATTAGGTAGTTTCACACAGTAGTAGTTGATCAATATAAAAGTACTTCATTGTGTCTTATGACACAGTAGGTTTAATTACATTTAAGAAGTGCTCTCTCATCTACTGCTTTCCATTTATTCCAGCCTAAAACGTGAAAATTGAACGATTTGTACATCAGTCATTCACCCCAACCACATCCTTACAAGTTTCTAAATGTCATTTAAAAAATACGATACAACCAGCTAATATGCTGCACCTAAATCTGCTAAATAATATAGTTTAGTCTTATATAAAATTTATTTTTAGGCGACAGAGTTGCAGAAATTGCAAGTGTGCGAATAAAAGTTAACAGAAGCTTGCACTAAAGAGGCAGTGATGCTGATGCTGCAGCAAAAGCCTCAAGTTGGCTGTAGGCACAAACTAACAAGTTAAAGCTAGTTCAGCACTTACCTGGCCACCAGAAAAAATGACAGGGGTGGAGGTGGGCTTTGGGCGGTAAGGGATAGTGGCACCTTTTGGTGGGGACTAGGAAAAACGAAAGTCAGAGTTAGTCTAAAGCAAGATAATTGCAAATGTAAGTGCGTCAAACTCACATCTGCACAAGAATTGTTTTACTTTTTTTATACTCAACAATGAACGGAAACTAGTTTAAAGATGAGCAAATTATAAAGCTAAAGATGCCAATTAGCTGAGCAGGATGCTTGCCACAATTTGTCTGAAGGTAACAGAGCATGCTAAGTGAAAATATTAAAATCAGTTCATTATTGTACCAAGGAAATTTTCCCAAAGCCTAGTCCCACATATAGCAAGTAAACTCCATTATTTTAGCAAAAGTGGCTATAAGGTGATGCTAGTTTCTGTTTTGTTACCTCTTTTTAGCTTTTGTTCCCTGTCTTTAGAGTTGTTATGCTAAGATACACTAGCTAAATGGTTGTTATGCTAAGATACACTAGCTAAATATACACATAAAATAGCTTCTTATTTAATGTGTATATTTAATGGTACTGATGTGCTCTTTTTTTTTTGTTAATAAAACCTAGAAAAGAAAAAACAGAGAGTGAACAGTTCTTTAAAATACTGTAATTTTTTTTGACTTGGTGTATCACTGTGTGCAGTGTAATGCATATGAAGCGGGATAGCATCCACCCACTTATCAATTCACATATATAATCATATTTTCCAAAGTGCTTTACTGCAGAAAAGCAGAGGAATTATTCTGAGGCAATAAAGTGTCTTGCTGAGAGAAACATTATAGTTTTCACAAAGAAAATGTCTTTAGTCTTCATGCACTGCTGTGTAAATGCATCACCTTATTTTTTCTGAGCCATGACGAATGAGAAGGAAGGGGATTTCCAGTTTGCGAACTTACTATAATGACACCAAGTTATTGATTCATGCCGTGCATCAGCAACAAGACTATTCAAGACGGGGGAAAAGGCTTAATCAAATTTCCACTGTAGCTGCTGTGCTGCAGCAGCAGGAGTATCCACTTCAGATACAATATCCAGACAAAGTAATGGTGTTACTCTTTCCGTGACAGTTCAGTTGGATACTAATGCACAAAAATGATCGATAATTACAGATTTCTCCCTCTAAATTGCATCAGAATGATTTAAATTGCAGTCTGTTTTGCTATGCTGCAAACAATTTCTCACTTTCAGCATAATAGAAAATGTACGCATGTAGACCCTTCTTGGCACCTTAATAGCACGAGCCGGTTGCCTGTCAAGTTGACATTTATGGACAACAATTGCCAGGTGGTTCTGACCATTCAAAAATCAATTTCTTAGAAAATGTGCTTTACGAGCACAAGCACTAAATATAAATTCTTAAAGAGGCACGCTATAGGTCTAGCCAGAAGTGCAATTCGACGCACACTCTGTCTGTTCAATACATTTCTCTGAGACTGTATAGTAAGTCATATTGGCACTTAAACTAGAGTCGTTTTGCTAAATCTGTACATACTTTACCTCCAGCATAACCACACAGATCTGTCTGACACACTGGATGATGGCTTCTGGGGTCCCAGAGATTGTCACTGCACGTTCTGTGGAGTTGGGCAGCATGTCGCCTGCTACCTGGACCTGGGCCCCTGTGGACTGGAGCAGAGGAAGGGACTCTGAGGGGCTTGATGATGTTGAAAGAAATTCATTTGTAACACATTCAGGCTGTGCTTTGCATTTCTCTCAAGAGTACAGGCACTTACTTTGGCAGGGAAATTAAAATTGAAAGGTACTTCAAGTACTCAAGGTGCAGGCTATATGATAGACTCCATTTCAGCCTCTATAAGAGCACCATGGCAATTTGGATGTTTAGTTTGTCCTTTACTATTTCCTTCAATTGCCACATATCCACCTGGGGTCAAAACTTGTTGCCTTCATGGCTGTATTTTGTCTCCACATCTTCTTTTTTTCAGCTTCCATCAAAAAGACAATAATGATGCATCCTCCCACACTTCACCCACTCACTCATTCAGCCACTGTGTAGTGTCTGCTACATCACTGGGAAACAAGCATAGACTACAGCTGACGCATTTCGGAGACTTTTTGGATGCACTGCTCCACCATTAGTGTCCACCAGCTATTCATAATTATCTCTAATTGCACCACTTTTAAAACCACTGCCAAAAAAGTTGCTATTTTTGGATAATTGGATGTTAAAATTTACATCTCTCTCCACAAATTATTTCTAACACAAATCTGTACAGAAATAACTTTTATGTACAACAGCTGTAATCTACCCACCTATAAAATCATGACTGGGAATGTAGCTTTGATATGCTATTAAATGCTAGTGTTCATGATACTGACTGTGAATTAATGACACTTGCACTTCCAAAACTGTAAAATACATAAAATGGTTCAAACTTTTAGAATAGCTTTTTTTGTCATATATAAACTAATCTGAGTATCAATCACTGGATCAAAGTAAGCTCAGGCTTCACAGTTTTTCAGTGTTTTCCATTCTTTGATATGTAAGACGTCTCAGCGAGCAGAAGTCCCTAAAATAGCCTGGCTGTGAGCACAGAAGCCCCGCCCACCTAATTTTTAAGGAAGCCAATCAGAAGAAATTTTGCTTAAAAGCAGGGAGAGGCGCTAAAACAGTGCTTTTTCAGACAGTGGATAAACTGAGGAGTGTCACTACGGCAGTTGACTGTAATTAAAATCCTGCTGCTCAGACAGAGCAGACGAGCCACAGCACAATTAAGACGTCTGAGTTTAAAATCACATTAGTTTTGTATCTAAAGACTCGTGACAGTTTTTGTAATGCAATAGAGAATCCATTAAACACACAGTTAAAAGTTAGACCTGCACAAAACGTCTGGCTTGTACATAGGGAACTGTATAGCACACAGACAATTCAAATGAGTTAACAGCAAATGTCATATGCTTCCCTGTACTGTCACCTGGCATTTTTAAAGGTTTGTTGATATTTTATTTATTATTTACTTATTTTTTAGACACACTAGCAGTGTGGCTCTAGCGATAGCAGTGGTATTTGGTCGGTCCAACACTTTGATCCAGACTGAAGTAGCTCAACAATCATCGGACTGCTTCGCATCAAATTTTGAAATAAATGTTCCTGCCACCCAGAATACAAAATGCACTGACTTTGCCTCAAGCACCAGCAACAGGGGGTGGGCAATTTTCTGGTTTAGTGACATGTCTTAACAAATTTTTATAGCGATACTGTGCAGATGGTGCTATGATGGCCTTGTGAAGGTATATACCGCAAGATGGCATCATCCAAACTTTGAGTCCTGCTCAGCTGCCTGTCATACTGTATCTCCTCTTCTGAGGCTTTCTAGCATTAAGGCCTGAAATGTTGTCCTGATTTAAAAAAAAAAAAAAAAAACTGCACTCGCTAAATGTCCTGTGGCTGCAGGGTCATAACTGCTGCTGAACGTTCCAGATATTTCATTAATAATTTATTAAGTAACACATAATCAAGTAAAAACAAGCCTACAGTTAATTATTTAGGAAAAATGACACAGTTTAGTTAAACTATTCATTAATTTTCAAATATCTAATATTTATTTACTCATGAAGAATGTAAGCTCGTAAAATAAAACTATTTGTCTGTAAATGTTCTGTTTGTCTTTCAAAAACAGGATAAACATTATTAACATAATTAGGTCGTTCAGAAAAATGTTTCACACACCTCTCTCATTTCTTTGATTTTGGAGCCTCCTTTCCCTATGAGGGAGCCACACTGGCTGGCTGGCACAACAAGCCTTAAGGTGACAGGAGGCTTGCTGGTTGCTGGACTGTTGCTCATGGAATTGATTATGTCCTGGAAAACAACAACAAAAGTAGCAAGTATTTTATCTTGTAAGGGTAATGTTTTCTTGATGTGACATCGAGACATTCGTGATGTTAACTGTCTCAGTAATGAATGTCCAAATAAATTTCCAGACTTCAAAGGTGGTGCAAAATGACCTGCAAAAACACACTTGTTTTAAATTTTCCTTAAGTATTTTCATCTCCTCCGCTCGCTGAATGCACCCTCCTGTAAACACCCAGCCTATTGGCACGGCACATTTTACACAGATCACCAAGAACTCAGCAGTCAGTCTCCTCTTACAAGTTCCAGTCACAGTACTTACACAGCACTAGCAAGAGGAGACACATCAAAGTCAACATCAGCAGAAAGATAGCTGAAAATTCACCTCATACTGTTCAGTGATACAGGTTCCCTTTGCAGGTGTACTGTATATATGTATGTATATGAGTCTGGCTTGGTTTTATCTAAATACAAACACTGAGATTGTGTTTGCAGACAGATCTTTATCTCAAAGCGAGAAACCCACGCTTGCAGGAAAACGTGTGTACATAAAGAAAGCTGAATGTCTGGAACTACCACAGGAGCAAAAGGTGAATTGAAATACTAAATGAGTACATTTTGATTGTGTACAGACTGATCATACCTCTTCAAATTTGTAGGCAATCATAGCAAAAGCCTTGAAGATGGTGTCCGTTGGTCCGGTGATGGTAACAATCCTCTCTGGACAGTTGCCCTCAGAAATATTGATTCGCGCTCCACTCTGGAAGACCAGCAACTACTTTTCATTTTCAGTGGCGGTGATAAGAAACCTTAATTATTCAAACAGATCCTGAGCAAATTTGAATCATGCATTACAAAGTTAACTTCGCCTGGTATTTCATTGTGATCTTTAGTGACTTGCTGGGGGGGGGTGCAATGGGCGGGAGGGTAATAAATATTTGTGCTAATTTTTTCTATATTCAAACTCACCTCTTCTCGCATCTTTTTTACTGTTTCTCCTTTCTGAAAAAAAAGTACATTTGTACATCAAAGTGAATCAGAATCTTTCCATAATCATGAAAATGAGTATGAAAATACATACCTTTCCAATTATACTTCCAACCTCCTGTAACATGAAAACACAACAAGAAAAAGTGAAGAAAATAAACATATTTATTTGTTTAAATGTGTACTTTTTAATTGTTTGCTTCTCTTTTTACTGAACAGGGTGTAAAAACTGTGCCAAGACATGAAGACAGGCATGTTCAGGGTCAGACTTTCCATGCTTGTTGAATCACTCTTTATGGGTTTGGTGTGGCGCAGCTGGTAAAGGGCACAGAGGCAGCGCTGGCTGCAAGCGTCAACACTCCCCGACCTCTCCTCAGAAAGTGTGAGGGTTACGTCTACTGTGACGTTAAAGCTGCAGGCAGTTGCAGTTCACAGCGCCAGGTTCTACCCTATAAGAATCATTTATATTTATCAAGTGCTACATTAAATTACACTCCAAAACTAACTTTCTGACAATATACTCATAAACATAACAAGTTTCAGTTGTAATGGTCAGTGCCAGCTCTAAACCAAATGAACCAATGAGCTGCTGTCTGTGCTTGTAGGGCCGTTGCATTGACTCATTGTCCCAGAAGTGCAGTAGATTACCCATCCAGCCCTGTTTCATTAACTATATTGTTTTTTCTTCTTAAAGTAAATCAAATTACAATTGCATTCATTCATGTGGTTGTAATGAAGTGGAACTTTTCCTACATTTAATACAAGTATAACCTGCAGGGGAAAAAGGTTTAAACCATATTTTCAGGCTAAGTCACCTGCTCATCATCAAAGCCTTTTTTTTAATCATATTTGAGGGGTGATTCTTTATCTGTCTTACTGTATTGTCCCACTAACAACTGAAATACATTTGATGTCTCTTCCAATTCTTTTAGATGTGTGTTTGGTCACGTTATCTCGTAATAACTGCCTGGAATTGCAAACATGGCTGAGGTGCAAGCTTCTTGAATGACTTATACTCATATAAACTTCTTCTCAGAGGGAGAAAGGAGAATGGCACCTGTGCCACTCCACTCCAGCTTCAGGGACACAGAGATGAGCCTACCAAAAACTCTTTTCTGGGCATCACAAAAGGGGAAAAAAGTCATTTGAAAGTGTAACAGGATGCTGGAGGGTTGCCTGCCCTCAATAGATAATGATGAAAATGCTCCAATACCCAATGTAACCCAATGGTTTCTCAATTTGAGGGCTTCACTGCTGTGGAGAAAGGACGTGGGTAATCCTGCCAAAATCCTCCCTTGTGGCTGCTGTGGTTATGTCCCTGCCAGGATGTGGGGTTATTCAAACAGTCACAGGGTCACTGGCTTTTAAAGCGATTACATGAGCAGTCATGAAGGCTGACCTGCACGGCCATTCACAGGCTGCTTGGCACACCAGGCAAGGAGAAGATGTGAGCTTCATTCTTTGTCCTGCAGAATCTACCAGCATTATCAGCTACGCATGTGTGCTGCGGGTTTTCTAGCTGCCTTGTAACTGAGCAGCTGTTATGTAACGTTCATACAGTTCTAGACAAGAAGAAATCTGCTTTTTTACAAACTCTACACTGACAAGAAAGTAATGGTCGTTGCATACAGATATTATTTACAAAGTAAAGCACAAGAGGTGGGGGATGGAAAGCAAGAGCCATGATGATACAGCATTCTTTATAAAACCAGGTGAACACAAACTAATTCTGATGGCCACTTAAAGAGTAGAAAGGAGTGAGGATGGTACACATGTGTCTAAAAAAATAAGAACTGCTAAAAAGTTGGTGCCCATTAATACATTATACACCATGCCCTGGGAAATCTGAAAATACTAAGGGCGAACAAGAACACGCTGAGCTGAGTCAGCAGCAGAGAAACACACAGCAGGAGATTTTCAGTCTTAAAGGCCTGAAGTCTCCAAAGGCCTTTGAACCTCAGTGAAGCTTGCTTACATAACCCCACAGTAAAGAAAGGTAAAAGTAGAGCAAAGCTGGACTTTGGTGTGGGAAGGCAAAATACATCTGCTGCCATTAGCTTATTTTGTTGATCTTACATAATATGAGTTAATGCTGTGTACAGTAAGTGGAAACAGCATATGCTGCTGTTGTACTTTCATTCAAGCTGATCTAGACTGTTGTCAAAGCAAAGCTATTGTTGGCTCTAACGGTTTCCATAATGGGACAAATTGCAGATTTTATTGGCACTTCCTAAGCATCTTTCAAACTCAATGCCCACCAGTCATTTTTCAAGCACTTTGGGCCTTTATTAGACAAGTAGATGGATGGACGGAACTGAGGGAGGAAGGAGACTGGTAATTACAAACAACAAAGATGGCTATCTGGACTTGAATGTTGATGCTACTCAATACCTTCAACCCCTAGGCCTCCAGGATGCTAATATACAATAGTTCTCTACTTTTTAACATTTAAAGTACTTTTTTGTTTACCATTTAGTGGCTTTCGGTAGTTCACGTTATTCTTTTTAGCCCCTGTTGGTTAGTAGACGGAGTTTAGTAGGAGTTAGTAGGAGCTTTTTAAACCCACGTCTACATGTTAGCAGTATCAATAGTATATGGAACCGCTTGTCTGTGGGCTACAATTGTTTATTTTTGTACTGTTGTTGGTACTTTATGGAGAATATTAGTCACAAAGAACTAATAGTAAATGTCAAGGGACTGGGTCTGGTGATCCAGTGTTTGTGTTTTTTGGGTTAAGTTATACTCTTTGAATGATGGTTTTCTGTTTTGTATTATATTTACAGTTCCTGGTTTCTAGGTTTCTGTTCTGTTTCTGTTCTCTGTGTGTTATATGCTTAGTCTTAGTTTTCTGTCTTTATGTCTTCCCTGTGTCCCACGTCTTGTTACTTTTGTCTCTGTGCTTCATGTTCCCGCTGTTCCAGAGTCTGTCATGTTTCTATGTCTCAGTGTCAAGTCTGTATCTCTGTGTCATGCTTCCTGTTTTACTTTGACAGTCTGTGTCCTTTGCCAATGTACTCTGCTTTGCTTCATTCGTCTCGTTATGTCTCATTTGTCCCAGATGTGTTCCCACCCGTTCCCCATCCTCTCGTTGTCTTGACTGTGCATTTAAGCCCTGTGTTCCATTTGCGCTTTGTTATGTTGTGCCCTCACAGTGTTGTGTTTCTGCCTTTGTGTTCCTGCAGAAGCTCTAGTTCTCAGTCCGTGGTTTGTTTCTTATTTTCTAGAGTTCAGTTTAGTTTTCTTATTTGAGGATTTGGTTTGTTTGTTGTGAAATTTATTTTTGTGGAAAGTTTTCTCATTCCATGTACAAGTCCTGCGTTTGGGTCCTACATCCTACCTGCCGCCTGCCACAGCACACACCTTGACAGTAAAGTGGAACTAAGTGTGGTAAACAATTGAAAATATTTTTTAATTTCTCTCATTTTCATCAACAATCCTGAATATTGTGACTAGGGCTGAACGATTATGGAAAATAATCTAATTGCGATTTTTTGCCCCAATATTGCGATTGCGATGCGATATGCGATTATTTTTTAAGGTCTTTGTCTTCTGCATTATTAAACAAAGACAAGCAATACATCATATAGTATGGCCAATACTATATTACATGAATTTTAAACTGTTCTTTCCTGGAAGACAGACCTCTGTTATGATGACATGAGGTGATGCATGAATTGATGACTGACATTTTTATTTAACTTCTTCAATCACAACAGTATATTTGAACATACACAATAGTTTATTTTTAGCTTACAAACATCTGAGCATAAAGTGCTGACAAGGAACCCTGGTGTAAACATTAAAATGAAAGTCAGTACAATGTGCAGATTGCAGAAATATACATTAAAAAAATCAGTGGCTTTACCACACTCAGTTTTTCGACATCTGTGAACTACTAGACAGTCATTCAATTAAAAAATAATATTAAATAAATAAAACTAATAAATAAAAAATGCACACATCTTACTGATCTCTGCAGTCAGTAACATTACACATAAAGTGCAAACATAATAGCAATTGTATAAACACACACACAAACACGCCTTTAAAATTTAAAGGCGTGAAATTGGACCAGAAGGCTAGTTCTGATTAGCGTCACCGCTGTCTCGGTGGAGTTTAATAAACTCGGCCGTCTGCTTCTTGCTATCTAAAATATAACCAGACACTGGTGTAAATTCTCGACTGTCTCATACTTCTGTTTAATAAGTTTTCTGTTTGACGTTTAGTCAGCTGTGTGAAAACCAAGGAGGAACCCACCCGGGGGATTAATAAAGTTTTATTTTATCTAATCTAATAACTTTAATCTCAGCCAAACCGATTTACTCACGAACAAACAAAACACTGAAAAAAGCCCAACAATAACGTTTTTAGGTTGTCTAAGTGACTTATATATTACGTTTAACCCGAGCAGCGAAACTCCGCGGTGATCTGAAAATGATGTGCCGGGAGTTGTGCCGTTCTCGGCCGCATCAGTAACCCTCGAGCTTCCGGCTAGCTGTTGAGCTAGCCGGAGGGTAGCAGACGCCTCTGAAAACGTCGAAGCACTTTTGCAAATATGGGATATCTTGATAAACCGAGCAGATATTTGATGTTTACACAACTACTTTCTCGCCTGAAAATATGTTAAAAGTTTATTTTGTGACCCAGAAAGATTAGTATGAGTAATTTTAAAACTTAGTAGCGGCCGCCATTGCTGGAAACTGGAGTTTGGCTGGGCCGCGCTATGAATTCTGGGATATGGTAGTAATTTGGACAGCCTTCGGCGCGTCGCTGTGACGTAATCGGTCTACAAATGCGGCCTCAGGAGGATGCAGCCCATGAATTTGGACATGTCCAGAGTATAATCGCAGCCTTTGCGGTTAGAAAATTGCACTTGATCATGTCGCGATATTATCGCAAATGCGATATATCGTTCAGCCCTAATTGTGACATATAGATGTTTTGGTATACATCTACAGATGTCTCCACAAACCAACTTACTTACTTTAATTATTTAAAAATCTAAGGGACCACTATGATGCAAGTCCTATGAATTACAGCAGGTTGTGACATATAATTAAATTTTTTAATTTACAGATGTCCTGCTACTAGGACGGTCAAATCTAAGGTCAGAGTTGAGGTTAACAGGACAAATAGAGAAATGATTTGAAAGTTAATTTCATTGCACAATTTGTACAATTCCAATTTATCTGAATACAACTTCATTAAAATCAGATGAAAGGTTTAGGAAGAGAGGCCATGTAAAACTGGCACCTGATTCATCACTGAAAGGATCTTGAAATGAAGAAATAAATCCCTCTGCATGTCTCTCACTTTTCAGGCTTCCTAACAGTCAATATAGCACTCAATCACTGTGCTCACTTACTTTTCCATGCATGAGGAGGCGGATGGTCAGGGTGACATTGAGGCCACCCTCTGACTGGACTTTTGTTGGCTCCATGCTGGGGGAGGAAAAACTGGTGGTCCAGCAGTAGGATGTCCTCAGAAGGAGAAGGAGTGCGGTGGTATTCCAGCCAGCCAGTCACCTACAAAACACAACATCACACATAAGCAAACACAGTCGGTGTGTTCACAACCAGCAGATGATATCAACGTCCAGTTGCATTAAATTATTATAAGAAGGCAGTTTGGTGCTTCTGCAGATGCGGTAACGGAATCATATTTCTGCTGTATGACACATAAAATAGTTTCTAAAGCCATTAATCTACAGACTGCTTTGACACAACACAAAGCTTTCAGCGATTTTAACTAATGTTCAGTGGTTCATTAGTTTGTGACACTGCACACTCCTCATATCTTCAGCACCAAATAACACACTTGTTTTCTGGGGTATATTAACCACAAATGCCTAAATTAAAAATAAGTGATGACTTTAGGCTAAAAATCCAAAGTGCAGAGCCCATTCGACTACAGCGTGGCTAAGCAACACATTTATGAGCTGCCTGCTCAATATTTGTTTCATGAATGACACGTAATTGTGTTGAGAAGATCGAGAGATAACCGAATGTAATCACATTCCGCTCCCCCCTAGGTATTTTTTTCCCCCGTTTATTTGCTCTGTTAAAAATTCAAACGCAAAAACAAAGCAATCACTTGTTTTGTTTTTAATTGCAGGCCAGATCAGAAGAGAGAGAGAAAATTCTTCTGAGCTCTTATTCACGAACTGTCTAGGAATATACTGGAAATACCAGACTGACCAATATAGGAATAAAATAATTTGCAACATTTGTGACGGAGGACCGTGCCATTGAGATGAAACTAGGTGAATAAATGAATACATGGACTACAGGAATGCCTTATCTGTATATGTAATGTTGCCTTGAAGGTGCAGCACGATGACTTGCAGAATCCTCCGAGTCTTCACTGCTAAAAAGCTTTTTCCTCTGACTCAGACATTAAAGTCTTCCTCCTGTGCCCTTATTACAGTTAGTCAAATTACTTTGCTCTCCTCTGCCTTTGCTGTTAAGGCAAAGGCAAACAGACCAGTCTGTATGCTTGGATGGCTGTGCCAAAAAGTCATAGCTGCTTTTTGTGTTTTAAAAAGTTATAAGACATGACTTGGTGTTCTGGTTAAGTCTATGTAAAGTCTATAACAAAGAAATCTTTAATGAGTAAAGGAAAAGTTTCTGTACTGTTGCCAAGTTTAGAATGACCTTTGTTACACGAATGTCAATATATCATGTGTGATGTGATGCAGAGCCTGAATCCAGTCTGTTTCACATTTCCTACTGTCCCATGGTTAGTGTGGTGCTCTGTAACCCTTTGGCTATTGTCATTTCACTCAGACAATACCATCCAAATGTCAATATTAAGTTTTCTGTAGATACAGTTTGCAATCTGATGTAATCACCCATCCTGTTGAGTTACTGCTGTTATCATTACCTGCAAGTTTGAGGTTTAAATTTTTATCAAGCAGCCCCAGGGGATTCTTCTCCAATCTCTATTTTCTGCGTTTTTGTGGAGACTCATTTGGCTACAGCTTCTAATTTCCAGCCAGACACAACCTTAGGCTACTGTTTACTTTTTGTGCTCATATAAGAAAATGGAACAATATTATCCTATGAAAACAAAGACAAAGAGGAGATATATAAAAATTAGCACAGCAGCCCTCCCCACCCATTTTGGTTAGTGAGGTTGGTTTGAGTTTTGTGAGAAAAGGAATATAAATCATGCTAACTGCACTGAAGTGAGGGCAAAACCCACAGATACTGATATCCACACTGGATATATGTAAGTTACATTTTAGAGGTCAACTTAAATATACCTGCCGGGGACAACTTTAAATGCAGATTCCTGTCTATCACTCTGCATCACCAGGAAGGCATAAGATTGGTTCTAAATTCATTCTGCAGCATGAAAGTAACCCCACACATACAGTCAGCCACAAAGAGCGGTTTGTCTGGTCACCAGGAAGCCCTGATGTCAGTGCAATGAACAGGCCCACATCTGCGGGTCAGACTAGCCACCTGGGCTTAAATTGAGCTTTATTTGGTTCAAAGGTAAACGTTTAGTTTATTACAAGAAGAAGCAGTAAGACTGTGGACCTTGAAGTGATCACATCCACGAACCAAAAATATGTCTAGCTTAGAACCCACTGAAACAATCAGATGTGTTGTGTTTCCCACGAGAAACACTCATCCCTAAACTTTACTGCTTTTAAACAAAGGGCTGAGGGATGATTGGTAGGCACAGACATGAGACAGGAATATAATTTGATTGATATAAACATGGTCCAGAGTTACCTCATCATTTTAGACCTCATATGTAAGCAAAAACATTTTAAATGGAATTTAATTATTTAACAGGGATCCAATAAAGACAAGTCCCTAGCAGTCCAAAAACATGCTCATTAGAGTGTGTTAGCCCGATGACTGACTGGTGATGTGGGTGCACCCTGCTTTTCCTTGCACAGTGGCAGCTGGGATAAGCTTCAGGCCACCCCAGGTCAGATCATCAGTTAAGAATGGATATTTCATTATATCCAAAAAATAGCACTGATGACCATCTGGTACACTGAAAACAAAGTTCATATTTTAATAAACAAAAATACTCTTCATGGTTAATCAATTAAAATATTATTTTAATGCAAAATTTGTTTTTATGCAACACACTTACACCAGTCAGTTATTTTTGTTTTTTGTTATACATCTTTGGAAATAAAGATTGCTTTGTTGTAGCCTACCAATATTTGTGCCTACTTGTGCTACAGAAAAGTGGGATTTATCATTTATTTTTGCATAACTATGGAATGCAGGTGTAAGTGTGGCACATCTATAGATACTCCTGTGATATGCAATGAATTAAACTGCTGTGGCTAAAGGTGGTCTAATTTCAGATTAATATATATTCAGAAAAAAACAGGAGTTCAGCACAGCACAAGATTAATGAGATGTAATAGAAGTGGAGGCACAAGAACCTGGGGGGGGAGGCGGCAGGTTCTGCAAGACAGGTGGAAGAAACTACCTGCCAAGCACCTTGGGAACCTCTGAGCACCAATTAACAAGTAATAATTTGCACTTTTAGAAAGGGAAAGGATAACTTCACGAAATTTAGAGATTATATATCAGATTCATAAGAAAAAAGTTGAAATAATGGGGTCTTTCTCTTAATGTTTATTAGCCAGCATGGCCCTCTGGGAAAAGAGTTGCCCACAGGTGTGCTGAGGTTGTGCTGGAGCTGTAGCAGCTTTGCAAAACCAAGGAAGGTGTTCAAAAAGGTTTGCATGGAGACAGCCAGAGTGTAAGATTCAGTCCTTTAATAATAAACTTCTAAATGTACGTGAAGCCATTGTGAAGCTGTAGTAAACCCCGATAAAGTGAACTAAAGGCAACAACTTCAACGTCACACTGACTCACACTACTATCAAGTGTGCTGCTAATGCTGTCAGCTAGCTAACCACGCTAACGGCACAGAGTGAAGGCCGAGACGAGCCCAGACAGATCCAACAGGAAAATGAACCGATATGGGCTTCAAGTAATTCTCCCGGACAAAGAGAATGACCTTCATCTGAATGCCGTGAGTAAAACAATCCACCTCTGCTGTTTTCAGTTTGATAATTACATTCTCCGTGTTATATACAACCTCGTGTGTGTTGACTGACTGTTTGCCGCTAAAGTTTTACTTGTAAACACAGCAAAGCACTTTTTAAATTGTGTTTTCTCTTATAGTTTACAATCATTCCTCTATAAAAGCAAACCCCCCTACCTGCCTTTATGTATACATTGTACATTTCTTGTCTTTGTGCAGGTTATTTCTTTCATTTTAAAGGTGTAAATGTCTTTCTTGCATAGGTAGAAAGGACTTTATATATTTACAAACATGGTTTGGTTTTGAGATGTTGTATAATGTATTATACAACCACAAATGTCTACAAAGTTATTTTACTAGGTATTTTGTATTCTTGTACAGCACTTTGGTCAACGTACTGTTGTAATTAAATGTGCTATATAAATAAATAAACTAGAACTATAAACTATAGATATATAGCGTTTTCGGGGTTTTTTGGTTGACAAATGCAAGTCCGTTTGTTGGCACTTCCTTGTAAACATAACTTTTAAGTGTTTCAGTAGTTGTAGTTTTAGTTGTGTGTTAAATTTTATTCTGAGTTTATCAGATATTTTTGATCACATTCAAGGTGTTTGTGGTACCCTTCCTCTCCTTGCATGGGAGATGTTATGATTTGCTTTGGGTTCTTTAAAACCTCCAGTCACACATCTTAAAATAAAAATCAAAGTAGATGAGATCACTTCTTGTACAGGACAGGTAACAGATGTTTCAGTTAAAATGTTCTGGTAAGTTCATAATTTTACAGCATTTTGAAACTAGAATTAGTTTATTATGAATATTTCACAAAGTTGTGAAATAAGTGGTAAGAGCCAGGCCCAGCCATTGCACTGGCATGGTTAGTTTTTCTGTACAGCCTTGCCTCTTGTCCTAACAGGGACCTTGTCTGAGACAGGTTCCCCTGCATTTCCCCCCTGGGTTGTTACTGCTTGGTAGTGAGATGCCTCATCTATCCTAAGTGACGTCACAGAGTATTAGTCATTACTATTATACCTCTTTCAAGGCTTCTTGAGGCCCACCTAATGTAAAATGCAGGTGCAGTTTTTGATGCGTTATAAATGGGCAGTTATGTGAACACCTGCTCAGAACCTTGTAGGCTTGTCTGTTAGTTTTCCTGCAATACAGTCCCATTGCAGGATTTTGGGTTACCCTGCTTCCGTGCAGTCAGAGGAACCTTCAGCAAACATGTGTTTATCAGTAGGGTGTCCAGGTCTGTCTCCTCATACTGCATTTCTTGCTTTGCCCTTTCCTGACTCAAGTAACTACTAATGTGGGTCTTGCCTGGGGTTTCACAGCCAGAGAGCTGCACAAAGGGCTACCTGCTAGTAGCATGTGCCTCTATATGCATGTGGCTGGTACAGTAATTTGAAATGTGGTATTTCTCATTAAAAATGACTTAATGTTTTTGGATTTTCTTTTTAAAAACAGAAGTTGCAAATTCTTTTAAAGCTCTGTTTTGCTG